ATTTTATTAAAAATCAATTTTTAACATGAGATTTTCATTCATTTTTATATTCTAAATTCATTTTATGGGGCATGATTTTCAATATGTTATTAAGAAATGTACAAAACGTTTCTTTTTTTTTTTTTTCCTATGGCATAAATGCGTAATTAATCGTAGTGGTCTGTCATTGTTATTGTTATTGTGATTGGAACATACAAATAAATTGGATAACCACACCAGCTTCTTGTGAGACTACCGACAAGCACAAATATCAGTGCATTCAAATTGGTGAAGATGAATTTAGCACTGACCTTTGGAATCGAAACGAATCATGTTCATTTCGTATAAATAATGTTCTGGAAGAGCCACTTTCTTTTGTGGTCCTCTTCTGCTACAAAATCATGTACCCTTGTCTGAAATCTCACAACAAATATCAATTATCTGTGCTTTAAAACTTATAAGCAACGAGCCTGTCACCTTCCTATTTTAAACTAGTTGTGTAATAATACACACAGAAATACAATTAAATGTTGAAGCCCTAAAACTATATATTATGGCCATTCATTCTTCTTCCAATTTAACATCCAACATGCAACTCACCATTGCTATTTATTTGTCTTGCCTTGTGCATCATCCTCACTTCATATGAATCAGTAGTAGTACTTTCTCTCTTCATTTCTGCAAGTTCTTCAAAACTGAGTATTCTAATCATCAAGTTATTGCACTTGAAAGCTTGACATCATGTGGCAAAGGAGATATACCATGCTGCAAGATTGAAGGCAAATTGCAATGAGAAAAAGCCCTATAAGAGATTAGACAGAAAACAATAATTTATTCACGAATATGTCAAGCTTTGTTACATCTCAAAATAATAGTTTTTGAAGATTATGAAATACTTTTTTTAAAAAAGAAATCCAAGAGAAGTGGCTTAGAAGACATTAATTAAAAGCTGACATAATGTTGGTGGCAAATTAAGTTATAAACCCTAGCCTTAAATATTGTGGGGAACATGGTGTTATATACTTACCGACAATAATCTTCATATGCAGAACGTAGGCACATGTTCTACTATTGTGTCGTCTAATGATTGCATTGGCAATACCCTATATGGTTCTTCTGCATAATCATAACTGTTTAATTGTTCTTACTACTTAGTTGAAGTGTTTTTTGGAAACCTGGTAGGTTGTATTAGAGAGAATTAAATGATGAAATATTGAGTATGAATGAGTAATCCTTGGGTTTGATTTTGGTGATGGTTGTAAGAATTTGGCATTTTGGATTGGAACAGAAAGTGGATAATGAATTTGAACCACAGAAAAGACAGAGAGAAAAAACAAAAAGGGTCACATCTATAGTTATTTTGTTCAGCACAACAGCACATGCCATTATTCATTTTTGACCCTTACTTTGTTGCAGAGGACTATCGAGTCCCCACATCTTGCCTTTCTTCTGATGGACTTTCACTACCTCCTAAGGCCAATTCTCTTTTTTTTTTTTTGGAATCTCGACACTATGTGTCTTCATCATCTACATAGAACAGAATACGGGTCATCTTTCACTGTGAATACATTATTTTCACTCAAGGAAGATTAATTAAGGGTATCTCAGCATGAAAAATCACGAATTCAAAACAATGTTTTTTTGTTGGATTTTTCTAGAGAATACAGCAAAGATTTTCTATGTCCAAATATAATAAGTTATACATACGATAATTTCCAACATAAAATCATAAGATTTAATATTTGTATTCTAACGTACTTTTAACTCGTACTTATATTTTTAACTACTTTTAGAAATGCATTAACACTTGTTGTTAGTCCTATGAATTTCATTCATATTTGAAAATTTTCAACCATAGCATATGTCATTTTAAAAAATTATATATAAATTATTTTATATAAGTTAAATATGTTTTTAATTCTTAAATTTAGAGACACTCAGTTTTAAATTTTGATATATATTTAGGTCTTTAATTAAATTTTAAAAATAAATAAATATAATCTTTTTAAAATAAGATATTAATTTTATGAATTTGTTAAACGGTATTTCAGACATTTAAATTGAAACTTGTCAAAGTTATGTAAAAAACTCAAATCTCGTCTTAAAATACATTTGAAACATCAACCAAACGTAATTAAGTTATAAATAATATATTTATTCATTTTTAAAGTTTAAAAATAAAACTGTATCAAAATTGAAAGAAAAATAAATTATAATTGTGTCAAAATTTAAAAACTCAAAACATATTTAATATATATTTTTTATTTATTGTATTAATGAAATTATTTTAAAGTTATTAAAAATAAATATTCTATATGTTGAGTTTGGATGGTAAAGAAATTTGTACTTAAAAATATTATGTGAACAGTGTGTTTCTCTTCATACTCGATCTTATATTAAGTTATTAAAACATTTTTACTTTATTTGATATTTTATTATAAAACTTATGTAATTATAATTTTTTCCTGTTATTTGTTATTAAAAGAAGTTACATATTATTTTTGACATTAAATTATTGATAATATTATATTTTATTCAATATGATTTTTTTTCTTATGTGGAAAAAAAATGTTAATAAATATTAGGACAAAATATGAGTATATCTATATTATATGATAAAGATGAGAAAGTGAAACAAATTTTATAATACTGAGATATCAAAGATGATGAAGTGTAGGTATGTTTACATCACAAACTAAATCATAAACATGTATAGTCAAATTCACACTCATTACTTTTTATTATCATATCTACTAATAATTTCTTCTTCTACTTTTAAATTTTTGGATTATTCTCATTTTTAAATAGATTGCTATGTTTGCCCCCATTGAAAATAAGAAGAACCAATCTTGGAGGATCTGCATGTTACACAGATAAGTCCTAAAACATTGTAGTTTAACATGTCTCAAGTTAATCTCCCATTATCATATATACAGAAGTGTGAATAATAAAATCAATGTGAGCTTCTACAATATTCAAAGTATCACTTAAGTTTTTTTTATCAGTACTTAATTTTTTTTCATTAATAAATATTAATTATTAATATTTTGTTAATAGAAAAGTTAAACTCTGAAACTTTCTTAATCTTTAAAATCTACCAAATTAACCTTATAACTATCAAATATTTATAAAAAAATTGAATTTTCGATCTCTTTCATTTTTCTTCTAACTCTACAAACCAACTCTAGAAGAAAGCTAATATATACACATTTAGGGAAGGTGGAAAGGAGTATCTACACATCTTTCATGATTAGTTATAAAATCACACCTCAATCATGTGGTAATATTCACCATCGTGATAAGATATAAAACTATAAAAAAAGTGATTGTTGACCGAGGAAGCTCCACAAACTTTTTATATTAAGATATACCTTTGCTGATTCAAAATTTTTAAAGACATGTTTATTTTGAAATGTAATGACATGACTATTTTAGCAGCTCTATGAAGAAGATAATAATATAGGGGTACTCTTAATGATGTAGTTTTAAGAAAACAAATGAGCTATTCAAATTTAAAACATTATTTGAAACAAAATGTTATATTCTATGTTGTGCTTTTCCGTCACCTAACCTAACGTGTATCAAATTTTGTCTTCCTCTCAAATGAAAAGCACGTTTGGGCGCATGTCCCTGTTGACTTCTTCTTTGGGCTTAATCTTCCAAAATTACTTCAATAAACACCACCTTCAAATTCTAATTATAATATAAATCATATGAAAATTGCTTTTACGAACGCTTCATCAGTTCTGGAAACATCCATTTACGATTTTTAATATTCTATAAATCTCAAACTAACATAGAAAAGTACAAAAAATATTATAATTATTATTATTATTCATGAAAAAAGAAGTCTTTTTTATTCAAATTCAACATGGGGTAACATGCATTGAAAATGATACTATTATTGGAGTTTGCATGAGTTATAATGGGTTTAAGATGAGAATTGAAGGTAAAAGAGATTATTAATGGTGAAAAATATAAAGAATGGAAGGGAAAAATATAAATATTGGTGGGCAATCTTTATCATTGAACTATAGAGAAGGAATCATTGGCAAGAGTTTCATGTAAAATTGACACGACCTTGTTGGGGTTTCTCTCAGCATCAACTACACCTTATGTCACACACACTTTCTCTCATTGCATCGTTTTCTTTCCTTTGCTTTTCTCAAAGTCCTACTTTCATTCTCTTCCATAAACAAACACATGCACCACATGATCCTTGTCACCGCTTAACTCATTGGGTGAAAAGAACTCTGGCACGTGAACGTTTTACAATTCAATATCATCAAAATATCAGATGGGACACGGTCACACAATGCTGCAATGTGCAGGACCACACAAGATGATAATAATAATAATCTATATTATGGTTGTTTTTGCTTTTTATTATTTTATGAGAAATTCTGCATAATGGAGCTTCTATCTGTTGAATTCAACCTGTGATATCTCAAACTTGTTAAGGAAAGGTGGATATATAATAACTAAGGAACTCACCACACTGTAGAATGCAGAATCTATTTTTACAGTACTATGGTTGATCAAATAATAAAACCATGGATCTACAAAGAAAAAGTTTGTTGGCCCTTTTATTTCTACTCATTTTCTAACTTCTGGAAAAGCTAGCTAAAAAAATGAATCACAAAGTACTGCCATATGCAAGCAGAATGAAAAAAGAATAAGAAACTTACCTTCCTACAAAAGGAAAGTCTTTATTTACTCAAACTAATGCATTTTATCAAGAAACATGCATTTCTAAAGCAGGAAATAAAGATGTTATTGAGTTAGAAATGAAGTATGATGACATTACAAAATAAGGTATCCTGTGCAGGAAAGGATTATTACAAATATGAAAGAAATTACATGAGAAGATGTGATATAATTAAAATGTGACAGTGAAAAAATCAGCAGACAAATAGTTAATATTTTGCTGCAGAAGACTAGATAGAATACAAGAAAAAGGCAAAGAAAAAGAAAAGAGAGAGATTATATTAGGCTATGATATGAAGAAGGTAAAATGGTAGTTCTGTTAAACTAAACAAAATAATTGACATAACAGGAATGATAGTTCTTATGATAAACTGTGTATATTATAGACAAACATAAATTGACTGCCCTAGAGGGTTAATAGAAGCTGTAATTCTACTTTACTAGTTCCCACTGCTTTACTTTAAGATTCTCTATAGTATAACAAAATTTCTGAAGACAATGAAGATATTTGGCTCTTCTATGTGTATCATGCTATGGACTATGTTAATTGCAATTCTCCATATCACAATGTCTGTATGGGGTTGGATTCTTTGGAAAACAATGCAATCAACTTTTCCTTGGTCAGCTGATCAGGTCCCTGAGATTTAACTACAAATGTATGGAAAACAGTATCATTTGCAGCAGTAAGTTTTGAATCAACAACACCAATATCTGCTTCTTTGAAGGTTTGAATGACTTTTGAAACCGGGTGAACATCAATAGGGCAGCTCACCTTTACTACCACCCCATCTTGTGCAGCTTCAACATTCACATCAGAAATTCCATAACTATGATTTTCTGATCTTGCATTGGCCTCCACCACTGATCCATCCATAGAGGTGCTTCCAAATCTCTCTCTCTCAGACTCCATCGTCTTGAGTTTCGCTTGAAGTTCATTGATGTAAGCAATAGCATCTCCCAATAGAGATGCTTTGTCCATCTTTGAGATATTTGGAACAACCGCACGCAGGGCATAGAACCGCTGGTTTAGCTTCTCCCTCCTTTGCCTCTCTGCCTCCACATGGTTGAGGGGCTCCTCCCTTCCATTGGCCGGCTTCCTTCCCCGTTTCCTCGGCCTCCTGTCATCGGCAACATTCGTTCTCTCCTCCTTGCACGATGCCTCAACATCAGAAATCTCAGATTCCGCAATGATTGATCTCCCTGAAGCCCTTGAAGTTGCTCCTGAGAAATCAATTTGCATCTGAGCCTTCCGTTGCTGTTGCTGGTGCTGATAATTGTTATGCACAAAATCATGCCTCGTGCCATTGGCCAGCTCCGGCACCGACAATGCACCGGAGGTGGACAACCTAGGAGCATGAATTTCAGGAGGACCAAGCTGTCTCACAACTTGACCGGCCCCCCAACCAGAACCATGGATACCATTTGGAAAACCAACACTATTCCCATTGGGATGAGCTCCCCACGCCCTCGGCCTCTCTTCCATTTTCCTCACAGCAAGTTTCTCTCTGAATTGAGTCACACTGTTCAAATCTTGCCCAAAAATCTTTGGAACTCCGTTTCCTTCTACTCTATTATTACTAGCATTGCTGCTGTTATTCTTTTCCTTATCCCCAATTGCCACACCAGAAAAAGGGGCATTTGCATTATCATCTCTCTTCTCACTCACCAAATCAAATGGTGTAATTGGCTTAATCCTGAGAGGGACCAACGATGCCTGTGCAGAAAACACAGACTTCAAAGCCTGCAAAAGCTCAAAACTCTCACCCACCATCCTCACAGACCCCATCTCCACCACCCCCATATCAGTAGGCACTAAAACAACAGTCTGAAACAGAGAAAAGAAAAGAAAAGAATCAAAGTGCAAACATAGAAGAAATTAAGGGCTTCTGTGCAAATTTGAAATAAAAAGAAAACAAAATATGGTACATAATAAATTCATAGCTGGCATAAAACGTGGATTGGTCGTTAGCCACGTGAGACAAAAGTTAACGCCGTCCAATTTTAAGGACTATTACTCAGAGTTTCAAAACAATAAGGACTAAAAACCATCAAAGTTCTGAGTAGGGACTAAAACCAAAATCGCTTGATAGTTCAGGGACTAAAAACATATTTAACCCTA